GCTGCAATATGTGTAGTAATTATATGAGTGTTAAATTTTAGATTTGTATCCGATGTGTCTTTTGAAATGGAATCGCGATGATCTGCGCCTGCCATCTCTCAGGCACTTTGTAGCAAATGCACGTGTAGTGCACGCGTGAAAGCCACACTTATGCACTTAAATCCTAGCACCATACGAATTTATAGCGGATGGCATATTATTTACTAGCATTATACGCACAATTTGCGAAGCTGTCGCAAGGGCCAGCTATAATTTCCCGATGGCAGGAGATCCATCAATACACGCCTCGGGCCTCGGCCGCTTTCAATTTGTAGGCCGCTACATCGCCGGCAATTACCATACAGACGGAAGGCCGATCATCATCGATATATTCGCTTAATAATGCCTAATGACACTTAATAAAGAAAAAATAAAAATTCTGCATATTTTTACAGTCATTTTATGATATTTAATTTATATTTTTGTACACTACATCTTTTTCTACCTTGTTTTTGTATTAAATCTTCATATCAATTATTAAAAAAATAATAGTAATATACATCATCTCAGTAAAAGAGAGATCTTAAACGGACACATTATGACAGTAAATTATAAAGTCCTCTAGTGAAGTCACTAGCAGTAGCGGTAGTAGTGATTACAATTATTATAGATAAATTATTCTTCTTTAAATAAAATAAATTATTAAATTGAAAATTCTTTCATATAAATGATTTAAGTCCCTGCTAATTATTATTTGTTATTAAAACGATATTTACATATTCAAAATAGTGACTTTTCTTCGATTCACTTCCCTGTTCCATAACTACAACCCAACTTTCTATATCAATATGTTCATTCTAAATACTTTACTATTACCCCACGGGAACAATTTAATGTACCGGGATAAAAAAGTAGCCAATGTCACCCTCCAACGCACAAACTCTCTCGTCTCCATGGAAACAATCACGTTAATCTGGTATTTGGTAGTTACAACATGTGAAGATATGTAACAAACAAAACAGACTCTGGTTTATATATCAGTAATGATCTATTCTTCTTATTTATACTTATAATAAAATTGTAACTAAGCCGAATCTGGACATTAAATATTTTTTGGAAAATCTTATTGAAATTAACGTTATTATCGATACAGAGGCCGAATGTATAGTTTCAGAATTTTTGTCTGTCTGCCTGTCTGTGACCCCATTACAAAAAAACCACAGGAGGGATTTTGATGAAATTTAGTATAATGATAGCTAGTTTTCCCGGTCAACATTAGGATACCTTTTACTGCGGGATAATATCTCATCTCTGAGAAATCTATACTAAACGTTAAAACGTGAGTAGTAACCTATACAATATGTGCAATAAAATTATGACCGCTATCTCATTAATTTTTAAAACCCGCTCATAAATTGATCTAACACTTACGAGAATTTAAAATTTTCAGCAAAATCAAATTATAATATTGCTACAGCTAATGATGGGATGTTGAAATAAAAAGGAAGTAACTTATTACCTATATCTATACATATAATAAAATTCTAACCAAGCCGAATCTGTACATTAAATATTTTATGGAAAATCTAATTGAAATAGACATTATTATCGATACAGAGTCCGAATCTATAATTTTTAGAATTTTTGTCTGTCTGTCTGTCTGTAACCGCATCACGAGAAAACCACTGGACAGATATTGATGAAATTTGGTATGATGATAGCTAGTTATCCGGGTCAACATATAGGATGCTAGTTAAATATAAATAAATAATTGTATTTATTTAAACAATAAAAATAATATATTTGAAATTATTCTTATATAAAAGACAAGATAGGAGCTTTTAAGATAAAGTTCATCATGAGTACGTACATCATGTTCTTATTCAAAATCAAAATTTCATTGATTAACACTATTGAATAATTTAAGTCGGTATCGAACCCGCAGTCTGGTATACTAAAAACTTAATTGACCAATTATCCTCCAGGTGTTTTTGAGATATTTGTAAAACGAAAAGAGCTTAAGTCGGTAGATATTTTATCAAAAAATGGCTATTAAAATAAAATAAATTTATCACTTCTTCCAAAGGAAAACCACGATTGCTTTTATATTATTTTACTTTAGAAATACTTATTATATACTTTATAAATGTGTATTAGCTATAAAAGTTTTTATTGAAATAAGTTTTTTGAATATACTATAATTATAAATTGACACTTCAATACTCTGTATAATGATGAAGAAGCCATCAGAAATGGCATGTGCATTACTATGAAGAATTAAAAAAAAATAAGATTTATTATAAATAAAACTGTTTTGGATTACGGTTTAAGGTTATTCATGCAAAAAATATGTATTGATTAAAATAAAACAATATTTGGATTTGTTTAGTTTATTAACACTTAGGGCCGGACCCTGATATGTGTCACTACAGTCACGAACTGCTCACATCAAATTGAAAACTGCTAAAACAAAGTAACTTAACGTCATATAAAATAATGCAAGTACTAAATAAATAATATTTTCTCCTCATAGCATTCTGTGGTAGTATTGTGGTAGTATTGTGTAGTGTATTTATGCATCATTTCACTTCATTCATTCATTCAAAATATACAGTAAAAGTTAAATCTAAAGAAGTTCATGTCAAGAGAAATTAGAAGTACAATAAGCAGTATACCAAGTAGGCTGTAGGAACATTAAAACTTGTCTAGTTTATGAAATATGCTTTGTTAAACTCTAATACTACTGCTTTATGGTATGGTATGTCTCATAAAATAGAAACTCTACATAGAGAAATATATTTATCCCATAGTTTAGTTGAACTAATGGTGTGAGCAGTAGTCGCGACATTTTCTACAACATTTACGCTTTCCAAGACCTTATTCTTAAGAAACAACTACGTGACCCTTATATACAGTGCCTATACTACAAAAATAATTTAATGAACCGCTATACAATACATACAATTTTTATTTTAAACACATTCTAAACAGGTTTGCGATTTACAAGCATATGAAATATAAGCCATGTTCTTTGTGTTACAATATTTAATAAAAATATTTTAAAGCTCTATTATATCAAATCATCATTCTTTTATTTTCATTTCAATAAAGCTATTTTTTTTTATATTAATTGAGGAAATTTTCGCAAATGTAAAAGCAGAATAATCATAACATATATTATTTTAATACATGACTTATAGTTCATTTGATATGCGACTTTCGATTTGCCTAAAATATAAATATTACATTGGAATATAAATAATTAATCTAAAATGTACACACATTTATGTATAAAATATTATATATCACTTATTCCCAAAGTACTCTACTACAGAGAGATAACGTTTAAAATCTATCTTTCTGACTATAACATCAAAATCTTGATACTGATTATTTAGTACAATAAAAGAATGTCAGTTTAATCACATAAAGGTAATCTTACAAACACTGGAATGTTCATTTTAAATATAAGTTAGGTACTCTTGCGTTTACATTTTTCTTTGTTATATTTTGCTTACATAAAGCTTATATATATATATATATATATATATATATATATATATATATATCTATATATATAAAAGAAAGTCGTGTTAGTTACTTCGCTTATAACTCAAGAACGGCTGAACCGATTTAGCTGAAAATTGGCAGGGAGGTAGTTTAGAGCCAGGAGAAGGACATAGGATACTTTTTATCCCGTTCGACCGCGTTCCAATTTTTATGATATTTTAATTTTTGGATTTCTCTTAGTCCGGAATAGGTAAGTATTAAAACATATAATTAAAATGTGAGAAAGAAAGATTTTTTCTTTTTATATCTATTTAAAACGTACCTAGCGACGAACCCGAGCGAAGCGAGGGTGAGCCGCTAGTATATGAAATAAAAAAATGTAATCTAATATATAAATATCTCGTGTCACGGTGTTTGTGGTCTCCTCCGAAACGGCTCGACCGATTTTAATGATATTTTTTGTATACATATTTGGTAGGTATGAAAATAGGTCGTAAAGTATTTTTCACCCTCCAATCCGCCATTTTTTAATCACGATTTTAGTATTGTTGTATGTACAATCTATTATTCCTTCCCACGGAAAAACACAATAACTGGTTCTATCGAATTGTCCTTAGAAAATATGGCTAACGCTGGCTCAACCTTAAGAGATAGATCAAAACATTGTACAAGAAAATTGTAACTCTTAAAAAGGTCGAATAATAAAACTGTAGAGGTCGAATGATTTACATTAAAAAAATGCTAAAAACCGAGTCAGTTATCTTCTTACATCCCGTAAGAAGAAAAATAGAAGGAATCCAGATGTTTTCAATTTTTTTCGTTTCTCTGTCTGTTTATCTGTTTGTACGATCTAATCTCCAAAACTGTTAGACCGATTTAAATGAAATTTTGCATAGTGGTACCTTATATCCCCAGTCAATATCTTAGATACTTTTCATCCCAGAAAATTAAAGAGTTCCCGTGGGATAGTTAAAAAACTATAGTATCTTATACAGCTTAGTACACAGCAACTTATGCACCTAATTTAGTATTTAAGATTCTGATACCTTATATTGCCAGTTAAACAAGAGGTTACTTTTCATCCCGGAAAAATGACCGGTTCCCGTGGGAACTAATAGATCTCTATTAGTGTTTTTCTAGAGGCGAACCCGAGCGAAGCGAGGGCGAGCCGCTAGTATATATATATATCTTAACATGTATGTAGTCCTTGTTACTATTGAATTCAAATCTTTGGTTATTTTACAATCAAATTATTAAGGACATCTTTGCACAATTTTAGGTTATCGATTATCTCAGAAAAGCTATAGAAAATAAAAAAGTAGGTAACTTGTGTCCTAAATTTATCTATCTATACATATAAAATTATTATTCTTCGGGTAGGAACCTTCAAATTACTAAAGTATCTATTGATAATATCGAGTTACACATTTATATAGGTACCATTTAGTCTAAAATTAGCGAGTCTCTTAACGATTTTTTCACAGCACTATTGAGGTTTATGTCACTATTCACATGGGATGCCTGGGTGACGATGCATGCTCTGGCCTGGAAGGTTGCTGTTGTGGGTGCGTGGGAGGCGGGTAGGGGCAGTAGCGTAGAGGTGCAGGAGGTTTCTGCAGCCAAAGGTCAGGTGGTAGCGCGAGGGGCTGTGGCCAGGCAGAGGGCCAGGCGCGTCCACCCAGGGCCAGCAGCTGTAATGCAGGCGGAGTCCTTGCCCACGCTGCTCGCTTCTCCGCTTCCTCTTCACTGGTTCCCGTCGCTCCCGAGTACAGCCGCAGTGGAGACCGAAGCAACTGTTGCTCCATTAGCATCAACTCCATCGGATCTCTGAAGAATATAATTTATAAACTTTAGATCACTACATTTAAACACAAATTTTTTTACAAAATTATTCAAAGAAAATAATAAGGAATTGAGAGACATGCATTAGGTAGAATTCATATTTCAGTTAACATCGCACTAAGTTTTCCTACTTTAGTGTTCTACGAATGTTGCGTTTAGCGCGTTCGTCCGTTCGTTAGCTTTCAGTAGTCCATGGTCTATAAAACCGAGTTCGCAGAATTAACCGGCCACCGACGGGCCACGTGTTTTCGAATCTCATAAAACATTAATATACTTGCTAACTTTATGTTTAAATATAACACCGCATCTAATATACAATATCGCCGTCACATTCTTGCATGACTGCCATGCTGTGAGTCATAATTAAATATATGCAACAAATCACTTAAAAATTTCTTTAAGCTACAAATGGGAGTAATATAAATTAATTAAAAATGATTTTTAAAATAATTAATCACTAAATTTCTGTACAACGCTTCATTATGCTAAATTTAGAATAGGAACCTTACAATATTTAACTGGTAGGAATTCGAGGAAGTTTATTTTCAAACGCAGAGTTTACGAGGCGAGCACGTCTGAACCTTTAGTGGAGGAGCAATGCGTGATGCCCTTTATCGGTTCCAAGAGCTTGTCGCCACCAAGCATTTCTCGCAAAATGAAATTATTTTCTACACAGTAAACTATTTAAATGTAAGTTTTTATATCAAAACATTGATGGACTTGAAGAATGGTAACAGGTTATTCCGAGCGAACGTTTCAGATTCTATCTTCGAAGGTGCTATTAACGGTCTACATGTTGAGATATGAGTTGAGTGGCAAATGAGCGTGACGATATAGCAGAGTCGAGATGAGGCTCAAAATTGGCATGACATCACGAGATGCCGTGTCGAATTTAATCTATCACCGGCGCGGCCGCAGGCGCCGGCTCTGCTCCATGAAAACAGGTAGTGCCCACACAGGCTAACGAAATATAGATTTTTTATTAGAAACCTTAATTCCTATAGAGAGGATAATGGCTGGTGTTAATGTTATAGCTGCCTCGTATCATCTCACGCATCTTCTCACACATTACAATAATATTCTCTAATTGAGCGTGATATGAAACGTTATTATCGAGTGTTAATATTCGGTTATCTTATTATATTTTTTATATAAATTAGTTTTTACATATCGGTTTTATTTTATTTTTAATATAGGAATGCCTATTAAAAATAATATGGTACATATAAGCAGCTTTTCTTCTATTCATTTAGTGAATTTGTTGATATTCACAGATTTATTTTTATGGTGTTATAAAATATCCCTTTATTTTATTCACTTTGAATGTGAGAACTTTCCATTTCTCTAAGTTTTTCTGATATATTCAATGCGCACTCGACAATTCAAGCTCGACTATAATTTTATAAATAATACTTATAGTAGGTATATTAGTTTAAATACACATTGTTGCAACTTCGATTGGACATAATTTTTAGAATTTTTATATTTTATATTTAAAGTAAGAAACGTTAATAAAAAAATTTATTGAGTATAATTTACGAGTTATACATAATCTGTGGTATACCTAATATTCGAAGCTTTAATTTCATCATTAGCTTGAGATCGCCACAAATTTACTTATATTATTTTAAAAGAGATTGTGAGCATATTATGTTGTGTCGTTTCGGGTGCTATGGGGGCGTTAATGGGGTATTTATTATGATCTCGGTATCAGCGGTAATAGCCAACACTCGCCGGCAAATTACAGGGCGGTGCTCTAAGAGGCCGTATAGGAATGACGAGTGCAGGTATCGATATCGATGTGGTCTTGTGAATAAAATTTGATTTGTGTAGCTAAAAAATATTACTATAATTACACTACTTATATCAAGATATTATTTATATTCTACGTTTTTTACTTGTTGACATGATATATGACCTATTGAAATTCCTTTTTTTATGTGGGAATAGTGATAAAATTTGTTGCAATACTATTTTTATTGTAAAGTATACTATAACATGAAACAAGATTCATATATCACACAATATCTACATACATATCAATTTCATACATATACATATGTATGTATGTAGGTTTAATACATATTTCGAGTCCTATTATTTAAATAATATAATTTAAATAATATAATAGTGAAATATCCGCTTATTAATTTGACCTTAATGACATGTTAAGCAATATTTCTCTCATCGAAGGTTAGCTCTGATTTATAGAAGGGAGTGCCTCATTGATTAATATCTAATGATAACAGTTCCGATTCCCACACTGCCCGATTTACCATTCTTATTGTCTGCTCAATTACGGACGTCAGCGAAGGAAGTCATTAGACGGACTTCGTTAAAAGTTTTATATTACACCATTTTTCACAGGTGAACCTACTCACATATTGGATGAAATTGAAAAAAAGTTAATACTTATTTTTCAAGTAGCATTTAAAGTTATACATTGTTTCCGCAGTGGCAGTACACAACATGGCAGGTAGCCCAGTGGTAACGCACTTGCTTGGGAAACCGAGCGAAGCGGGTTCAAATCCCGGGTCTCGCACCTCTGATATTTTCATGTGAGGAAACCTGTATGTCTGAGAGAACCTAGCAAGTTTTCGAAAGAAATTTGAAGTCCGCCAACCCGCACTTGGCCAGCGTGGTGGACTATGGCCTGATCCCTCTCGTATTGAAGGGAGGCCCGTGCCAGCAGTGGGACGTTAAAAAGGGCTGAATACATTGTTTCCGTTGCGGAGGTGTCTTATTGACGTATTCTCAATAGCCCACTTCGGTCAACGTTATTCACCTAAATAATGATGTTCTTAAGTAGTTTTAAGTAGGTACCTATCTCAGTTTGTTGAAACCGAAAAAAATACAGTTGTATGACCAATACACTTTTGCTTTAATTGATAATTATTATACTATAAAATGGGCAATTTTTATCAAAACATTATTATTAATTGTCCTAAATAAAAACTCCACACAATTTTTATTCGTAGAAATTAAATAACCTTAAAATCACTACTATAGGTACACCAAAAATACATAATATAATATTATTATATTTTCATCATGATGCAATCGTAAAATGAAAAACTTATGTCTATTCCATTTTAATTAGCTATCGTTTACTTAAAAGCTAGAACGGTAGCGAGCGGAGGAAGCAGTAATGCTTCGATAGCATCTCGAATTAGCCGTCAATCACGGGGAACTATCAACGCTGTATCAATTAATAGAAATCGGTAGCACATACCAACGCCGAGACGCACCCGAAATTACTTTAGTTATATATTCATTAAAGTTCTCATCAAGTTATCGATTTATTGCCTAATGTACATATTTGGCGAGTAAAATTTTGTTCAATCGTACTTACTTTAAGCACAGATCCCATAATAGGTACTATACTAGTACCTACGACAAGTTACAAAAAAAATTAATGCAAAGAAATTTTATTTTAAACGACAATTTACTTTTCAAATAAGAGCCTTTCATTAAAATGTTTCAGTACAGTGAAACTGAAATATTCGCACTTATTTAAAAAAAAAACGAGTGGAGTATAGGAAGGCATAACTATTTATAAAGTTTTTATGCATTTCGCGAGACTTGACCACGATTCGTTTTGGAACACGTTATGCCGCAGGACCGGTCCGTGCTTCGACGATGGGCAGATAATAGAAATGCGCTTTAATTTGTCGTTTAGGGCATAATGAGGAGCGAGCCCTGTGATTACGCGCGCCGCCGCCGCCGGCTCGCGCTGTTGACGTGCGCTGTTTCACACACCGCACCCGCCCCCAGCCCGCAACCTTGCATCCTCGATCGTGTAAACTCGAAACCATGTTAGTTTGTAACACACTACTACCAAATCGAAACGAGTCGAGTGCGAAATGAGAAACATAGGTAGTGACTCTCATGGGAACGCCCGCGATTACGGCCTCCAGCAAATTCTCGCCTCGCACCGGACGGCTCAACTTAAAAGTAATGAGTGGAAATCGGAATTATACGGAGCACTTTAAAACACATTCATAACCTGTATTTATAGGAGTAAATACTGTCGCCATAAGTAAATGAAGGTTTTAGCCGCGCGTAATTAGGAAAAGCCATTTTAAATGCCTATATAGACAATATATTTTTTTAAAAGTTGTTGGTGGAAAACTTTCCCTCACAAAATTTTAAGTTTAAATGTTATAAAATAATTATGATAGAAAAAGAAATTGGTTAATAAAATTACCTACATTTTTTATTATTTATAACAACAACTATGTACTTAGTAAGTATAATTATGTAAAAATATTTATTTGAAATACATATAATAAATTCATATATTTTGATAAATATCTAATAATTTAAATAGTACTGCATTTTACAAATAATAATCTGTTCTAAATCAGCATAAAGTTATAAATTCATATCACAAACTCAACCAACTGTTATCTAGAAACTGGATATTTATCAAAAATATTTCCTGACATCAATAAATTATCTGTCGATTTGTAAATATCAAATAATCAACTACAACTATTTATAGTAAACTATTTATAGTACCAATAGTTCATTTATTTATTTCCACACAAGTCTGCTTTATCCAATTGTGATTGTGAATGTTATAATAATGGACACTGGAAAAAAAATGGTAGGGCAACTATTTCGTAGTAGATCCTCCTTTTAGTTAGTGATTCTGTTCTGTACATCTTTATCATTTTTAATATGTTAAGAATTATCTAAATACCTATCTATCTTAATTTAGTTTTTTATGTTCATTGCAAAGCTATACAATGTTATTTCGCCATAAATTCTAAAACTTTTTATAGCTATAATCTTATAATCTTATTTGGCGGGTCGATTACACCAATAGGGATAACAACGGGCAACCCTAAAGCGCGAATCGACATCGAGCGTACTATCAGCTACAATCAGATGAGGCGGGTTTTTTCTTTTATTCATAAAAGCCGCCGCTCAAATTGCAGGGCGGCCGACCTAATGCCTTTCAACTGTTGCTAATAACCTGCCAATTTATCAAACTCGCCTGCAGCGCTGCAATCTAACACTTGGCAATGCACGAACACGTGGCCACGTCCGTCATTCTCGCTTAAGTTAATAGGTGCTAATTTTCGCAAAAAATAGCACTGTAAATTATAGTCCGCGCTGGTTGTAAAATCTAAAAAAGTTATTTAACATTCTTTTATTCATATTAATTGGCAATGTGTAGAAAGTTTATGTATCTACCTATAATGTAAAAATACCATACCTTTACTTATTTAATAGATAGTTGTAATGATGTTCACCTACAATTCTACTTAATTGTTGCTTTTTAAACCTTGTTTTTGGTTGTAAGTATTCATGCACACAATAAATATGATTTTTCTATTTTAAAGCTATATTAGGTTATAGTATGGAACTGCTTACCTGTCAAAATCAGTAAGTCTAGATGAATCTCTGAAGCCTTTCGCAAAAGGATTTGAGTCAATTTTCAATTTGGTAATCAGCTGGTTCTGATAGGCGGTGACGGCAGTGAACACCGTCTCGGGGAATATGAACGTTCTGTGCTGTTCTCTGGACAGATCAGTAATGGGACCACCTCCTTCTCGAACTTTTACCAAATGGATTCGAGGCTGGTACCGATGCATAGAATTTAAGACAATCTGTAAAAGAGAAAAGGAGAAATAAGTAAATGATAGAAATGATAAACATAAGAAATGTAACTCATAAAGTAAATCACCTAGTTTGTGGGTACATCATAATCAATCACCATCAAAAACTAAAATCTAGCATGGTAAGCTTTATGGATTATAAGAAATATTTTTAAAAATAACCACATCATAAATACTTATGAAAGTAACAGCATTAAATATTTATTTCAATTTAATGATCACTTTCGATATTCGGAACTTTTTTTTTATAAGTAAGAGTTTAGACTTTAGACGAATGATGCCAACCATCAATGCTTTTATTCCCTTCCTTCCCTTATACACCATTTAATATTAAATTACCGTGTTTTGATATATCCTACTTGTTGATTAATTTCCACTTTGATCTGATATATATAAAAATAACATTTTAATTATTTTTATTCGTCGTAATTTAATAACAGTTGCAGCCATCAAGTCCGAAGCCCCATAACATTATAATAGCTTATTTCGGTACTCCCAAAACACTATACTAGATGCAATTTTCTTGTTAAATTAATTAAGTTTATCTGTTTAATGATAGTGTCGGTGATTTCTCATCACTACATTGTAATTAATTGGGTGATGTGACGCGCGATAGCCACTCGCCGCTGATGGTATAATTAACGTTCGTTAATTAATTTGACTGCCTACTTACTTTATTACATAATTGCGTTTTTTAAGAGTGCCGATTCATTGTGATTTCGGTGTGTTATTTAAGTACCTACATAATATTATATGAATGTTATTAAAAACTTTATGTCGGGATTTTCCTAATTAGTTTTAAGCATCACGTTTTTGTACGCTCTATCTATATCATAAACCACCATAGAAAGCTACTCGTTACCTCTAAAAATACTTGACGGGTTGTATTTGTCTTTTTCTATTTCTAAAAGTACTTATAGCTCTATTTATATTCAGCCTTCTATAAAGAAGATATAATGGTTAATGAAATAATCATAAGATAGAAAATATCTGATGTAGCTGGTCGGCTGTGGTCGATATCAAAGGAAAGCGGGAGTGGCTTGAATCATTACAAAATCGTTAATTTCATCACCTGCGTGTTAATGAATTACCGTCGAAATATATTATGACTTATTATTTATAAAATTGGCCGCTTTTAAGTAATATTATTATAAACTAGTTTTTGATTGCGATTTCGTACACGTGGCAGGTATATCTACCTAGAAAAACTAGGTACCTACTTATCTCGTAATATCTAGTAAAAAAATGAACAAATGCATCATGTCTCGTTATGAGGAATACAAAGATCTCTAGGGTATTTTAAATATATGCCGGTGCTAAAATTTTATTTAAATTGACTTATAAAAGAAGTACGGTAAATTTAGGTTTAGGATTGAAATGCAATCAGACAAACAGAGAAATAAATTACCTTGACATACGAATAAATTAAATAGAGGGATAATAAAAGCGGTAATCACCTTCATTTAATCCTAGTCTAAAATCTGTTAAAATATATTAAGTAGGTACCTAATTAGTCGGTATATAGCGATAGAAAACGTTATTCAATTACATAAATTGGCCTAACAGTTAATAATAGCGTGTTACAGATATTATAATAAATGGCAGTCTTATATAATTCAGATCTGCTACGGTATCAAAGACATACGCTTCGATAGAGCATAATAGTATTACGTGCCTACGTAGGCGACGACACAGGTCGCTGAAGGGATGTACGCACTACCTTGCCCTCATACAAATTGCCAAGGGATATCAATCTTTAAAGTAATAAGAATAGAGTAATATATCTCTTATACCATATAAGACCACGGAGCTATAATTGCGGCGGGGGGCGTTGGGAGGGCCGTAGGGAGGAGCAGAATGGCGGCCGGAGGGGGACACAACGCTTCAGACCGTTGAGTTGACAGCACGTCTTAACGTCCTTGCTCCTTTATAGCAAATTTATGTAGCATTAAAATTCACCATTTTGAATGTTTTATATTTTGTAATAATTCATAAATTTTATGTTGTAATTGGCTAACACAACTTTTCGTATAATTCAAATAAATAATATTTTATATGTAAATTTGAGCGTTAATACGTGTTATTAAAATGATTATCATAAAGCAAAAACTTTAATTTATAAATTTTATTACAGAACTGTTGCTTCATCTATTATTTATATGTATAAACATTTTATTTCGTATCCAAAAAAATTAAAAAATGCTTCCGTACCGTATCTACCTACCTATTTGTAAAATCTACTTGATATAAAACCGATTTTATGTATCCTATATTAGAGTTAATAGTATTTATTCGAAATAATTAAAAAGAATATATAATTATTCACCTTGGTACATTTCTACAGTTTAATTCATTTTTTAAATATAGTTTTTACACAAAACTTATATGCAAAAATCACATTAAACTGCTACTCCGCGTTGAGTGAAAAAAAAAAACAGATTAATGAATCAAAAACGCTTGTAACATTTAATAAACCAAGGTTTATAAATATTTTTTAACAGAAGCACACAATTTTGCTTAGTAACAAAAAATTACGTTTAAATTTGAGATAATTCAAGCTGGCATAGCCGGGGATGGCCCGAGTGTGAGGTGTGAGCCGTCAATAATCCGCGCGTCGATATTTCGATTAGCGCGCGAGGCCGCGGATTACGACGGATTTTCGCCTCCGCGCTGCGCCTCGACAAATTACCCTATTTGTTCCTACCGAATACCTACCGCGTAGGCACATACTTTAACCTATCTATTATGTTCATAATTCATATAGGTATACCAATAATTAGGCATAAATGAAATCAAACAAAAAATATATAGACATGCCTTATGCCTTTTAAATATAGCAATTCATATGTTTTAGAATATATAAATATAAAATAGTTAATAAAAACCCTATATGAATAAAACCCTCTGTAAATAAAGGCTGACCCTATTGATAAAGTAACTGTACGAATAATTTATTATTATTAATACAGTTAATGTACGGATAATATATTTTTATTTATTCAGTTACTGTATTATTATAAAATGTATGGACAAATCTAGGACCGCCATATTTAATTTAGAGCTTTCGAAAGAGGCACAAAAAATATATATATATATATTTATCTTGTTCCCATTCTTTCAAAAAATGGAGCGTGTCGTTCAAAAGAAAATACATTTGATACTCCCAATTTTTCTGATACTATCCAACACCTATAATTTTCGAGTCAAAACTGTCACCAAATCTTAAATAATATAAAGCAATTATGATATGGGGGGTTCTAGGTTTGAAATAAAAAAAAGACCTAACGAGAAAGTTAAATCGGGAGCGAAGCGTAGCGTTCTCAACTTACGTTATCCAAGTCGGGGCTGTCACGTAATCGAAAATTAAAACTTACAAATAAATAATAATCTTTTATCCAGATACTCTAAATTTAAAATAAAAATAAAATAAAGTTGCTGGACAAATAATTATATATCTACATATACTAGTATTATAAAGATGTAAAGTTTGTAAGTTTATGACGTTGTATGGGGTAATCTCTGGATCTACTGAACCGTTTAGATGAAATTTGGTAAGAAGATAGTTTTAGACCCTGGAAAGTATACTTTTTATCCCGGAAATCATCCCTTAAGGGGATGAAAATGGGGATGAAAGTTTATATTGGGAAGCAATATTTATGCAGTTACTGGATTAATAGTCACATCGTACAATAACTGTACGAATAATATATTTTTATTAATCCAGTTACTGGACTAATTATATACATTTATTAGTCCAGTAATCCATTTAATTAATTCAAAATTGTCAAAAACGTAAAACTAAAGTGTAATTATATAATTAATTGTACTGGATTAACAGTCACTTCCATAAAAAAACCCTGCTTCAACGACAACAAGAAAACTGTAAAGCAAGCCTCTTATTGCCAAATTTACGAACTTGCCTAAGTAATGTACGAAATATTTGTCTAAAATACTTGATCACTCATTGACAATATCTGGATTATATGTACAAATATGAAAATTAATACACTTCTACCACTATACAGTGTTATGTTTCGGTTAATTTGAGCAAATGAAAAATAATTTACCTTCACGGTTTAAAAAAGAATTTTTAAAATATAAAAGAGTATTTTCATCTTAATAACTACTAACTCAAGCTCTTACTACCAGATGGCGCTATTAGTTACTGTATTATTGAAGTAAGGCATTATTTCCGCTATCTAAATTAAGTAGAGCCTATATAAATAAAAATGTTACTACCTAATATGTTTTTGTACCTAGACGGTAGATTTAGTTGTTCTAAAGATTTTTTTTTCGAATACCATGCCGACTAAAATAGGTCTTAGGTATCAACTTTACACATTATATATACTTTTATACTTTTGTCATGTACCTATAGGTACATGACAAAATGTGTATGTTTGGTTATTCTTGTTTGACGACATATCCAGTGATAAATTGATGTGATATTTTTTTTGTGTTGAGACTATCGGAAGACTGACGTAGCAGTAGCTTTACTTCTTATCGCGGGAAAATACTTCATTACAGGGAAATCACGTATAATAAAACACATACATAGCAAAGCTAATTTTCGATAGATATAGTTGGAGGGATCGAGAGTGAAATAGATAAGGCACTTATATCCGAAGTTTAGTCTTTTCACTAGTCGTTTACTTAAGAGTTACAATCGATAACGGGTATGCAATGTCTTGTAACATAATCGCGTTGATGAGCTAGCCTTTAGTAAAATAGTATCTTTTGGATACTTTACATAAGTTAGTTTTAGTTTTACTTTTGTATAAAATTTTAACATACTATGTAAATGCATTCTTTAAGTGTAATTATTTTGAAGTCCATTGATAAGATTTTGTTAGTGTTACATTTTATCGACTTGTACCTACCTACAAGTTATTTTCGAATATATTGTAAATAGCTAAGTAAATCATAATTTTTTATGACGCTGAGGTCAGGTTAGAACCACTTGAGTGGGTTATAAAGTGCAGTATAGTACA